TCTATCTATCTATCTATCTATCTATCTATCTATCTATCTATCTATCTGTCTATCTGTCTATCTATCTATCTGTCTGTCTGTCTGTCTGTCTGTCTGTGTAAAACGATATTATTTTCTGAAATAGAATCCTCTAAATTGAAAATGATAAAGATTCAAGGTAGTTTTACAATTAATAACGGCAAATATTTTTGCTTTATTTTGCTGGCAATTTATTTGTCAAGTCAATAAATGAAGGATGCGTAAATAAATAACACGAAGAAAGAAAGAAAGAAAGAAGGAAAGAGAAAGGACAAGACAGGATGAAAAGAAAAACGGTACGTGGAACATTTTTCTCAGTTTTTGTTTCACGCCGGGGACTTCTCCGCTGACGGACCGCAGAATGACATAATGGTAAACACAGTAAGGTAAGTGTGGATTTATTTTTCTCCAGCAGGTCTATATGACACCGGTTTAATCCGCTGCTAGTTTTTTAACACTTTTCTAAAAGAAAACTCAGGATATAGTTATAATAAAAACAACGAGTTTGTGTGTTTTTAAAGTGACATTGATGAAAGATTGAGAGCGGCTAACGCTAGCTGTCGGCTCTCTTCATTACTCAGGGATAAACTCGGGCCTTAAGCGGAAACATTCCCCGGCAGGTAACCAGTTATGAGTGATTATTTTTGTTTGTGTTGGCTCAAATAAGAACATTTAATAGTTATTAAATCCTTGCTGACCGTCGCTTCACCTCTGTCATTACGGAGATGCTGACTCAGGAGAGGCAACACAAACACTTCAGTGTTGGCAAATACAAACCTCGTGAACCATATTTACAATCATGACACGATCTTTATGATAAACAGTTTTAAAGCTGTCTTCAAATAAAACACTGTCAATTTGAAAGTAGCGTTCAGACTCCAGAGAAACTATGTTTCGGTCAAATATTGCTTTCTTGGTGTGTTTCTGTTTACAGTCACAGCTGGATCAGCAGAATTTACCTCATGAACAAGATAAACCAGGGAAGGAGTTAACAGTGTTATCAGTAACATAGCATGTTACATGCATGACACTTGTATGTGCTGGGTGGTAAAATGTTGTCCTGGAATATGAGAAAGAATTATCAATAAAAAATGAGCTTCATTTATTTAAAACACAAAGCGTAATTTCTTTAGTTATTTTCAAGTCAAAACCACCTGCAGAGGAGAACATGCTTTTGTGAAAGATTTGACTTTCCCTAAATAAAAACTTGACGTGAGTCGATGTTCATCAGATTTGCCTTTGGTCCAGTTTTTACAATGAAATTTCAAATAGACTAAACTAACCGAGAGAGGAATAGGGCGTAAGATTGAGAGACAGATTGGTGCAGCTTCCACAGTATTGCGTACTCTGTGCCGGTCCGTTGTGGTGAAGAGGGAGCTGAGCTGCAAGGTGAAGCTCTGTTTATCGGTCAGTCTACGATCCCACCCTCACCTATGGTCACAAACTCTCGGTAGTGACCAAAAAGAATGAGATTGCTGATCCAAGCGATTTCTCTGCAGGGTAGCTGGACTCTCTCAGTTATCCGGGTGAGACTTGAGTAGAGCCTCTGCTCCTCCACATCCTGAGGAGCCAGTTGAGGTGGTTCAGGCATCTGGTAAGGATGCCCTCTGAAGTCCTCCCTAGGGAGGTACTGTAATAGGAGAAGACCCCTGGGACATGATAGAGATACTGTCTCTCAGCTGGTCTGGTAACAAACACCTTGGGGTCCTCCCAGAAGACTTGGAAGAGGTGGCTGTGGAAAGAGACGTCTGGGCCTCACTGCGCAAACTGCTGCACCCGAAACTTGACTCTGGAGCAAGCAGAAGAGGATGGACGGAGCTCATAAAAACCTTAAGGTAGATCAAGATCTAATCAAACATTAATTTCAAAAATAAACAAACCGTTATTAGAATGGTGACACAAAAAGTTCGCCACATCAAATCCTGGCCGGGGGTCTTTCTGTGTGGAGTTTACATGTTCTCTCCGTGCTGCGTGGGTTTTCTGCAGGTACTCCAGTTTCCTCCCACAGTCCAAAAACATGCATGTTAGACTGATTGGTAACTTTAATTTGTCCCTAGGTGTGAGTGAGAGAGTGAATGGTTGTTTGTCTCGATTGTCTCCATGTGTCCCTGTGATGGACTGGAGACCTGTCCAGGGTGTCCCCCACCTCTCGCACCGTAATTGCTGGATATGGGCACCAGTGACCCCCACGACCTGGAATGGAAGAATCGGGTAACGATAACGGATGGAGATGATGTCCACGTTATTAGGACATCGTCTGGACTTTTGATCTAAATGATCTACATGCACCTCAGTTAAATCTAAGACGGTTCCATAATGCAGGGAGTGTCCTACAGAATTTCTTGTTTTGTCACACACCTCAGTGTGCAGACCAGCCGGGGATATACATTTACAGATGATGACTTTTTTCCTCGATCAATTCTAATCTCATCAGCACATTCTGTCTGCTGACTTAACCAAGTTATATCATTACGTCCTCGTATGTATCTGTAGCTGCTGGATAATGTCTAAATCATTTAAACATTTTAGAACATGTGAAACAACTTTGTTTTCAAAAATCATACCAAAGCATTCACAAGTGCATGTTTTTAGTTTCATGGAAGAAGCTGAATTCATAATAAAACTGCAAACATAGATTAAATGTAAACAGAAACAGATTTGAGGAGATTTTGTACAAAAGCTTTTTTATTTTATTTTTTATTTTTTTAGTTTTATCAGTGCACATTGAGGTTTGAAAGAACTTTAATTTTTTTTTTTTTTATTTCCTTATGCTGTTGTTTGGATTTTGCTCCATTATAAATTACACCACTGATTGAAAAGAACTGTTTGTGTTAAACAGCACGTTACATTCTCGTTACGTTGCTGTTGTTGGATGTAACTGTGCACATAATTTCATTCCACCTCACGATGCGTGTGTTATGTGAACGACAATAAACCTACTTGAACTTGAACATTCTCGGACACATTGATCTGGTATCTGTTGATATCAGGTGAAGATCTTTTTATAAATCTGTCATCAGACTGTTAATGCTCAACATCTTGCATATGAATCATGTAGAAAATGCATTAAAAAAACTTTTTTGTTTAGGTGTGTCCACATTTTTGTTTGGCAAAATTGATGAGATTTTAAAGCGCTGACTGAACACGATCAGTAAAAAGAGTTTTATGTTGCAGTGAGTCTGTACTGGGATTTTCACAGTTGGTTTGTTTGTGATTCAGTGTTTAGAGGGAAGTTTGATGAGCAACCAGTGATGATGATTCATGGTTACATCAGATCTGGATCTGTAGGAACATGTCATGCTAAATACGATGGCGTGTGGGTGTTAACGTGATGATGTAAGATAAAACGGTCCATTCTAGACATAAGCTCTAAACATCCATCCATCTTCTGTTCTTTGTTCTCCTTTCTGGGTCGCGGGGAGCCTAGTGCCTTTCTCCAGCTATCATTTTGTGAGGTGGAGGACACCCTGGACAGGTCTCCAGTCCATCACAGGGACACATAAAGACAAACAACCATTCACTCTCTCTCAGCTAGGGACAATTTAGATTTATCAATCAGTCTAACGTGCATGTTTTTTGTCTGTGGGAAGAAACTGGAGTACCTGGAGAAATGCCACGCAGCATGGAGAGAACATGCAAACCACCCAGACTGGAGGGCGATCCCTTATCTCTGAGCAGCAACAGCTCTAACCACTGCTCTTCCATGCTGCCACTTTAAATATAATGTATAAAATAATTTGTCTTAAACAATGAAATCATATAATTTTTTTATATATCGGTATCTTGAATAAAATGTCAAATATTCTATTTTTTCCACCATGAATGCCAGAGCAGTGATGTAATGGTCATTAAATAATTGATATCTGTAAGAGGAGAAAATCAATAGGAGTGTATATAAACAGTAGATGCAGTGGAGAAAACGAGACAGATGGGTGGATGGAGAGGAACCCCACCCGGGCCTGGTTCCTCTCCTCTCAGTTCAGTGATAAGCAGCTGAGCAGGAAGTATTGTTCCACCGGGACACGTGAGGGAGGACGAGCATTTCTGTTCTATCATAGTCTGTTCTGCTCAGAGTGTAGAAGATGCTGCTGCTGGTAGTTTGAAGCTCATCGTCCTTTTTTCTAACTTTTGTTTTGACAAAGTCTTGGATCAAATTAACTGAACCAGTAGAAATGAATCAGTGTCCATTTAACCAGCTGCAGGTTTTCTTTTTGTTGTCTAGTGTTTGCGTGTCTTGACTTCCTCTTTCTTTGTTCTCGTTTTGTTGCAGTGAAGCCACAAACGGCCTCAATCTGTTGACCTTCTAACCAACTGGCTGGCCAGAATGATGGGATTCTGCTGCTTTATTTTTGACCCAGAGTGAGTGTATCTGACGGAGGATCTTAGTTTTCTGTCCAGATCAGATTGTTTTCTGGCCGTGACACTTGTGTCGTGGGTCTGACATGAAGCTGCAGCGGTTGCACTTCCTCAAAGAGAAAGCAAACCCTCGATCCTAAAGCCTGAAGACAGGAAGGAAAGATTTTTAAACTGAAGGAAGCCTTCAGATGAAGAGCACAGCTCAACTTCTGGCAGCAGTGAGGGCATTTAGCAGATTTTTTAAATGCTCATCTTGATATTTCGTCATCACAGCTAAAAGGTTTGCATTAGTCCCTGACTGCTGGCTTTGCCTCTTGGACATGTGGATTGTGAAAACAAGGCTTCTTCGCTGGTTTTGGAAAACAACCTTGTAAAGGGGGTTCTTGCTCAGGGAAAAGCCACTCCTGGTGCAGCCATGGAGGGTCTGGAGCAACTTGACGTGGTGGGCAGTATCAGCCCGGCTCTGGAGGCAACAGAGGACTTCATCCACTGCATGGATAGGATGCAAAGCCAAGGTCCACACCTGGCTCAGACGAACCACCGGCAAGCTCAAAGGCAGCCGAAGCAGCTGCAGGATGTGTCCAGTGCTGCTCTGGGGAAGCTGAGCTCCAGCGGGGTGTGGAGTCTGCTGGCTGGTGAGCAGCCGGAGGTCGGGCCTCTGGGCCTGGCCTGGGCCGACAATGTCAGCGTGCTTGGGCTGGGGAAGGGCTTGAGGCACGGCAAGAGAAGCCGAGCTCGGTCTACCAACGACCTGGCGGCCCATATCCAGGAGTGCAACAACGCTGGCAACTCCTCATCCAAGTCGGTGTTTAAAAAGGGACACAACCGGTCCAGGTCGGATGTCAACTACCGTCCGTCTGCGTACACCGACAACGGACTGCCCACGGTGGACTGCAACACGCTGAAGAATATGATCCTCAATCAGCAGCGAGAAGGTGAGTTCACTTGTAGTTTGTGCAAGTATGTACATTTGATTATTTAGATCAAAACGTATCTGTGTTTCTGTATCACTAATATTAGTTTCAAACCAGCGAGTTTGCATTCACATCACTAATCCAGCGTTTTCACTTTAATCTGGTAATATTTCTCATGTTTCGTGAGTTCATCCGTGTTTTTTCGAGTCTTAACTTTCTACGGGGGGGGGGGGGGGGTGTTAAAATTAGAATTTGTTCGCCAGTCTATTGCTTTTGTTTGACTGTTTGATTCTTGAGAGTTTAAATATGAAACAAATTCAAATGACCAAAGCTGTAAATTGTATTGAACCCATCCACTAGAATTTTGGCACAGTGAACGTGTAAGTGTAAATAATTTTACACAAGATTAAAAGTTCTCGACAGGTGAGTCAGTGCAAACACAGTATCAGCTAATGCTTGTGCTCTTGTATTTTTGCGTTACATCAAAACTCGTACCAAAGATAATTTATAATAATTAAAGCAAAGATAATTTAAGCAGACTTAATTTCTGTCTTTTTCTCCTGCATCCTCTAATGCTGTTAACATCTAATCTATTCATTACCACAGCACGCACCTGCTGATTTTCATGAGGTAATCAGTGTTATTTCATTCTGCCCCCAGTAATTGGACACTTCTGACTGTTTTCCAGTTTGTGTGAACTGATCCTTTAAAACCGCTGCTTTTGCCTAAATGGAGATTTGTGGCGTGCGGAGCTGCTTTCATTGAAGATGGGGTCCTGGCCTCTGGTGACCAAATCATTGAGCCTGAAGTATTCTTAATTCTCACCAGAAGGCTGGCTCCTTACCTGCACACACACCTCCTCCTCCTCCGCTCTGATCGGCAGTCCGTCCACTGAAAAGCTTCCTCGGCCTTTGAGAAGCTCTTGCAGGACAGACGGCGGGACTCTTTGTGCTGCAGATCGGGGCGTGTGCTGTACTTGGGCTGAAGCCTCCCAGAGAAAGAAATAATGATAGAAGATGATGATGATAACTTAAAATGACACAGCTGTGTCGCTCCATATTCAGACAGTGAGCCAAACACACACACACACACACACACACACACACACACACACCCTATTTGTTTGTGTGTTTTGGCCATCTGAAAACCTAAGGAGATCCTAAGGGATCCTGAGGGATAATAGCCTGTAATCCTGTCAGCAAATGGACTCAAATGAGGCGAGAGAAGAGGCAACCCAATTACCCGGCCCCTGATACAGGCAGGATTATTTAGTATTAGCATACGTGTGAAAAGATATGAGGCCGTTTAGTTTGGCTCGATGCGTACTGAAAGAAGAGGAGGAGGAAGAGGACGGTAATAAGCAGAAAGGCAAAGTGATTTAGCTCAGCCTCGCCGTGTCTCTCCACTGAAGTAAATAAGAAGAAAGAGCCTGTTTGCCTTTCCATTAGTGACAGCTGGAGATGTTTAGAGAGCTAATGGAGCTGATTATCACAGTTTTACATAAACAAAATGCGTACTGTACATGCATATAGCCAAACAAAGTACGTTTAAACCTTTTAAGGTTTCATTTAGGTTTGAAAAGAGGAAAAAAATCTCTTTCTCAAGATTGTAATATTTTTCTCTTTGTAACATTTAAAAACAAAGTAAAACAGTGAATCAGTTAAAGAAAAATACATAACTTGTAGCTCCGTTTCATTAAAGCATGCAGAGGACTGCCCAAGACATAAATCAGACGTAACCATTTTGTACAAAAACTGCACGAAGCCTCGACCTGTCCGACCCTTCAGCTGCGTGACCAATAGTGTATTTTCCAAGGCTGGTGATGATGTCAGTCTTTAGAAATCAATGCAGCTGATGGCTAATAAATAATGCATAAAAAATATACATTGTATTTTATTTGTTTCTCATTGAAAGGAAGTCAGGATTAAGTGGATACATAAAATGGAAGGAAAGAAACTTTGGAATCAGGGGAGTTGTGAGAGTCTATAGAAAATAAATCTGCTCAGGAAGACGGAGTTCAAAGATGGATTAAAAAAAAGAGTAATCTGATTGAATCTTTTGGTAATTTTCCTTCACCTGACAAGCATCTACAGTGGTGCTTGAAAGTTTGTGAAGCCTTTTATATGTTCTATATGTTAAATATGTAAAATTGACCATTGTCCTCAATATGTCCTCAATTGTCCTCGGTGGTTAGCACTGTTGCCTCACATCAAGAAGGTCCTGGGTTCAATCCCCGGTTGGACCAGGGGCCTTTCTGTGTGGAGTTTGCATGTTCTCTCCGTGCTGCGTGAGTTTTCTCCAGGTGCTCCGGTTTCCTCCCACAGACCAACAACATGCATGTTAGACTGATGGTAACTCTAATTTGTCCCTAGGTGAGAGAGAGAGAGAGCGAATGGTTTTGTCTCGTTTGTCTCTGTGTGTCCCTGTGATGTACTGGAGACCTGTCCAGGGTGTCCCCGCCTCTCGCCCAGTGAATGCTGGACATGGGCACCAGTGACCCATAAAACAAAGGATGAAGCGGGTAAAGATAATGGATGGATGGATGGATGGATGGATGGATGGATGGGATCATAGAACATAGTGCAGTGGTTATCACTCACTGGTAAGGTTGCATTAGGAAGTTGGGCTCCAATTCCTTCTATATTTATTTGTGATATAACAAAAGATAAACTACAGCTGTAAGCTCGAGTTTGTCTTCATGCTGATGACAAAAGATTTTCTACCAAATCTGTTTTTCTTTCACTGCAGTTTGGCAAAAGTTTTTCCAGTCTGCACAAACGTCTGATGGGTTTTGTTCCGCTCGCACAAAATGGCTCTCGTTTCTCAATCACGTCATAAAATTCAACTCGGCTTCTGCATTTTCTTGTTTCTGCACTGATGTCCAAAGAAAAAGCAACGATCTCACCCCGTGAGCCAATAATCGACTAAACATCGAATAAGAATTTCTCTCACTTTAACGTTTCTCTACTAAAAAGAACCATTTGCTACGTGACAGAAAAGACATAGCTTACAAAACATTAATTTGGTTTCACAAGCTCTGTGTGTTTTCAGTTATTTGGTCATATGAAGGTGAAAAAGCACGAACACATCTACAGTAAAGCAGAGTTGATGATTTTTATTTCAAGGTTTAGTCAAATAGATGTTTGGGTTTTTAAGTTTCAACACGTAGTTACACTAATTTATTCTAATGCTGTTGCAGAAATAGCCACGCACCCAAAACAATCTTGCAACCTTATCCTCAAAGGTGTATAGCCAATTAAGGCCTTAATATCAATGCATTTTTTTACTTGCAGATATTTAAACTAGTTCTTACCGGGTTAATGTTTAACCTAAAATAAATCACTTATAGTAGTCAACCTGACAAACCTGATTTAGATGTGAACGCCCTCCACACTCTTGTTTAATTGGTTAAAAACATGCATTTTGTTTCTTTGATCTACTAGATCTCTTTCCTTGAAAAAAAGGTAAGTCAATTTATAGTTTGGTTAATGTGAGGGGGGAAAGTCCGGAGTCTCATCAATCTTACCAGAACTGTAGCAGACGTGGCGTCACTCCAGGTCACAGACTGTGCATGTTAACAAACCATTTGCAAAAAGGAATGAATCAATATGCAAATCTGTTTAACGCCATACAGGTCTAGTAAATTAGACTTCACGCTTGGGAGGGTCGAGATGAGAATTAGGGGTTGTTGTGAGGAAACCTCCTTGTTTTAAATTAGCTTCGTGTCGTCTACCTGTTAGGGTTCGGTATCACACAGTAATAGTCCCAACACTTCAATCCTTCAGTCTCAGGGCCAATAACTAACTCCCCAGTGTTTAAGTTAATTCTGCTGCCAGTTTCTCAATAATGTAACGTAGTAGTTTAAAATTCACCACGGATTTCCTGTTTTCTGGCTATTCTAGTTTATTGAAATATCAATCTGTCTTTTAAACTAGGGTCATTACTTTTCTCTCCTTGCTCATACTGGGCTACACCAAACCCTGCATAAGACTTGTTAAACACTGACGTGTGTTTTATATTTGTCCCTGTTGACCTTTAACAGTCCATCCATCCATCTGTCCATCCATCCGTCAGTCCATCATCTTGTTCTGGACTCAGGTCTCAGGGGCAGCATCTTGAGCAGGGAGGTCCACACATCTCTCTCCACAGCCTCTTCCAGCTCTTCTGGAAGGACTCCAAGGTGTTCCCAGGCCAATAGAGAGACATAGTCTCTCCAGCGTGTCCTGGGTCTTCCCCGGGGTCTCCTCCCAATCGGACATGCCCGAAGCACCTCCCTAGGGAGGTGCCCAGGAAGTATCCGTAGCAGATGAACCATCTCAACTGGCTCCTCTGGATGTGGAGGAGCAGTGGTTCTACTCTGAGTCTCTCCTGATAACTGAACTTCTCACCCTGTCTCTGAGGGAGAGTCCAGCTCCTGCAGAGGAAACTCATTTCAACCTCCTGGATCCACAATCTCGTTCTTTCAGTCTCTACCAGAGTTCATGACCAGAGCAGAGGGGAGGAACGTAGACTGACTGGTAAACACAGAACTTTGTCTTACAGCTCAGCTCCTCTTCACCACAATGGACCAGTACAGAGTCCACAATACTTCAGATGCTGCACCAATCCATCTGTCAATCTCACGCTCCATTCTTCCCTCACTCCTGAACAAAACCCCGAGATACTTGAACTCCTCCACTTGAGGCAGAACCTCACCCTCGACCCGAAGAGAGCAGTCCACCCTTTTCCAACTGAGGACCGTGGCTTCAGGTGTGGAGGTGCTGGTTCTCAACCGAGCTGCTTCACACTCGGCTGTGAACCGCTCCAGTGAGAGCTGAAGATCACGGCACGATGACGCCAACAGATCGCATCATGTGTAAAGAGCAGAGATGAATCCTGAGGCCACCGAACTGGACTCCCTCCACCGACGTGTCCTTGAACATCAAAATGGGCAGAAAGCAGCTTTAAAGTGTTTAGGGTTAGTGTTAAGCTGCATTTCTGCTGAATTTGTTGAATCGAGTTTTACTGCGTCAATGATTGACTGAGTAGTGTTGGCACCATCGAAACGTCAAAGCAAAACGTGACAGTTTAGCTTTGGAATGTCCTTGAAGATGCTTGTTGAAGAGACATCAAATATGTAGGTGATTCTGAGTTTTTAAACAAACTGAGAGGCTGACATCAGCCGGCCAGTGTAAAGTTCTTTATATAAAACAGATCATGAACACATGTCCAGAATCATCTGTGTCTCTTCTCTCTTTCTGTGTCCAGCTGATAAAAGCAGCAGAGGCAGTGTGGTGAAGCAGGGGGAGATGGAGCAGCGTGAGGGTCCCCGGGGCCGCTGGACACCTTGCTACGTTGAGCTGACGTCGTGTGAGCTCCGGCTCTACACCCTGGACACCAGTGCCAATCGGCAGCTGGGCACCGCCTACTCCCTGTCGCACTGCCAGAGCGTCGTCTCACCGGCACCCTGCAGCCAGTCCGTTCAGGTCAGCCAGCCCGGCGACCAGCGCACGCTCCAGGCGGTGTTCTTCAACAGCACGCGTCTCCAGCTGAGGGCGGCGAACCAGTGGGAGGCCGTGGAGTGGAGACGGTTGATGTGGGAGAAGGTTCAGGCAGCCAGACCTGTAAGGCAACAAATTCAGGTGGAAAACCAACATTTCACCAATTTTCCCACACCCATGTCACCCTCCTCATCACCCTCTCCGTCTGGGCTCGACACCCGACCGGACGGCGACAGCGACACCTCAGCCTCAGGGGAGGCGTCTCTCTGTCTTCAGTCTAATTCAGGAGGCCTGAGCAGACCCACCACTCTTCCTTTGCTCACCCAGCGCTGCCAAGAAATCCTCAAAGCTGGACCGCTTCACCTGTTGATGGATCAAAACAACTGGCGGGCTTTTACCTTTATCCTAACAAGGTCTTCCTTCCAGGCCTTTCCTACTGAAGGACGCACATCTGTGTCCCAACCTGTCCTCCAGTACTCCTTGGCATCCTGCTTGGCTGTGCAGCATGACTTTGAGCCAGAGAATGAAGCGTCACGGATGGATAAAGGGAATTTTTTTCAGGCTGTTTTCTCCAAAGAGGTACTGAAACTTCAGGCAGACGATCGTCTCAAGGCTCAAGAGTGGGTGAAGGCTCTACGGGAGGGGGTCGTCAAAGCCCAGAGGCCTGCAGAAGAAAAGACGGGAGAGTCAGGAGAAGGACCTCAAGACCTCCAAGGAGTGCTGCTTAGATCCAAACCCACGAGAGACCGGCGGCAGAGAGAGGCCCAGCGAGCCAAACGGCAGTCCGTCACCACCAGCTTCCTCAGTATCCTCACCTGTCTGGCTGTTGAGAAGGGGCTGACTGCTCAGAGCTTCAGGTGTGCAGGTAGGTGGTCTTTACAAACACACGCATACATCATCACTAGATGGAGTGTTGTTCATCACCCAAGCTTCAAGGTCACAAATCAAGGTCAAAATTAAAACAACTTATTTGCTTGTCCCGACCATAACTTCTGTAAAAGTGAACACCGCTGAACAGCGTCGCATGCACTTTTCATTGCTCCAGCAAGTCAAGGTCACAAATCAAGGTCAAGGTCTTCACTTGCTATAGATTGCTGTGCTGCTGTATAATAGTTGTTTGACGGGTGAGTAATGTGCCATATTTGGTACTCTTGTTAAACAAGATTGGACCGTTAATGTACAAAAAGGAAACTTACGATGAGGTCGTCGCAGGAGGGAGTTCAGTTCTAACTGCAGAAAACAACTTTCCCAAAAAATATCAAACTTGTGTCCAAAATGTAAGTTACAGAAGGATTTGAGAAAAGGCACTTAGGATTATAATCTTTTCAAACTGCATAAAACACTATCTGCATTTACAAACTCAATTTCTGCTACGATAAAAACAAAACAGTCAAGATCTTATGTACACCAGAGATTACAGATATTTTGCTAACAGTACAGACATGTTGTTCAGACATGGACAAAAAAATTATCACTGGGTAAAGTTAAAATCATCTTTTCACCTTAGAATGTGCTTTAAATGCATTTTTAATATACAGATGAGCTGAGTCCACCAGGACCTTTTCTTTCTTTAACAGTTCCTCCATAATCACTCACTGTTACTTTTTCTCGTTTGTGTTTGGGATCAGACCAGTAGAGTAACAACTCAGAGGGGATCAGTGGAGGAGTACGTTTTTATGTAGCGGGTGCAGCTTGTGGATGGAATGTGGGACAGTGAAAACAAATCTTAAAAGTGACCAAGTATAAAAGCAGTCGATGTAACATTTGCTCCAACTTATTAATGTGAGTCGTCGTAGACGGTTGAAATTAACTTTTGGAGATTGATTTTACTCTGGACGTCCTTCCTGGCTCAACCGCAGACACCGAGCTGCCACAGCCTCTGAGCGGAGCAGAGAGCTGCCATGTAGGGTGCCTGGGGGAGCAGGTGGTGGGGGTTCAGGGCCTTGCTCAAGGGCTCAGAGTGGGGCAAACAAGAGTGGAGGCAGGTGTGGGTGCTTCACCTTTACCACCCACATTTTAATGTTGTTTGTCCAGGGAGTTGAACCAACGACCTTCCGATCACAGGCCCACCTTCTCTAACCTCTGCCCCACCACTCCCCACTCTCTGTAAACTGACATTTGTGACTATCGTCCTAAACGTCTCCCCCGGGTGCCCCACATGCAGCTCTCTGCTCTGCTCAGAGGCTGTGGCAGCTCGGTGTCTGCGGTTGAGTCAGGACGGGCGTCCGGCGGAAAAACAGTCTCCAAGTCGTCGTGCGAGAGTTCACTCTGGCAACCCCTGAAGAAGGAGCAGCTGAAAGAAGGACATTTTTTAATCCCAAATATGCAGAAGAAGAAAAAAGTTCTAGAAACACAACTTGTTTTTATTTATTTATATTTATTTACGTTTTCAATGTGTTCGTCCAAGATTAAAAAGATAATTTAAGTTTCTTTCTGTTTTTTAGCTACTTTTCAGCTGGTTTTTTTTTCTGATTTCAGCTTTTTTCAGAAAATTTCTACGTTTTTTGCTCATTTCTGCTTCTTTCAGTCTAATTGTGTAAACTCGTTCTTTCTGCTTTCTTCTGCTAACTTAGGCTTGTTCTTCCATTTCAGCTACATTTTTTAGCATTTTCATAGCTAATTTCGGCTGTTTTCAAATAAAGTTTTTCGTGGTAATTTTTGCTACTTTCAGCCCAATTAACTTGTTTATGCTAATTTCAGCTTGTTATGCTCCTTTCTGATTTGTTCTGCTAGTTTCAGCTCTTTCAGCTACTATTTAGCTATCTTGATGCTGTTTTTAGCCTTTTCATGTAATTTCACATTTTTTAGCTCATCTCAGCTCTTTCCGCTTTCTTCTGGTGGTTTAAGCTTCTTTCTGCCTTTTCAGCTATTTTTTGCTAATTACAGCTTTTTTAAAGCTAATTTCCTATTTTTTGTGTTAATTTCTGCTCATTTAAACAGAGTTCAGCAAATATGTGTCCTTTCTGCTTTCTTCTGCTAACTTGGGCTTGTTCTTCCATCTCGGCTACATTTCAGGATATTTTTTTTAGGTAATTTCAGCTGTTTTTCAGCAAGTTCTTCTGCAATAAGCATTGGTGCTGCATTTTCGCAGGAAATGTGATTTCTCCAGTTGAATGTTTTAACTACAAGAATTCATTTGAAAGGTTTTTTTGGTCATGTCTTGCTTCTATCAGCAAGACAAACTTAACCTTCTTCTGAGTGTTTTCTGCTTCAGATCAGGGTTTTCAGTTTTCAAGGCCTTTTTCAGATTAGGATTTCTTCAGCTCCCACCTCCTTTAATAATATTCCAGTTAATCTGCATTGGACGTCTCCGTAAATGGCAGGCGGACCTGTGGCTCTCCCTGGGCGTGAAACGTAGGCGCCCTCTCTCTCTTAGGAGGGCTTTGAATAATCACCACTCACCTCCTTTTTATTTGTAACAACTGGCTTATTAATGCAGGGCGGCCTGAAAGGACAGCTGAACCAGGAACGAGGACGGAGGCCGTCTGGGGGCAACTGATGATAATTGGTGGGCTTAAAGCATCGGTGGAGGGAAAAATAAAATGGATGAATGAGTGAGTCAATAAATGAATGAGCGTGAATGAAAGCAGCCCCGGGATGCTCCAGTGGTCAGCTGTGAGCGCGGCTGTTTGTTGGAGCGGTTTGTTCAGAGCTGGATGGATTGGACAGCTGGATACGTTTATTTTCTATACAGCTCATTTATTTCCCTCCTTTCTCTCCGTTTCTTTCTCCACTTCATTCAAGCTTTCCTCTCTTAGTGTCCGTGTTTCACGCTGTACCCTGCATTCATGTGACAATAACCCTTCTTACCCTGCCGCACTGGTAATTAACACAACTTAAGTCTTTTAGACCATTTAAATAAAATCAAATGAGTTTTCATTCCACAGGTAATTTTAATAAATGTATATATTTTAATTTATTTATTTGTTAAGCATCCAATCTTCTAAATGATCACCATCTTCAAGACATGACGGCTAAATTGTACCGTAGACCGGGTTATTTCTCACCATTTCTATCCCATTTCTCTCACTTTCCACTTGTGTAAGAGGTTATTCTTATTGAGACAAATGTTTCTGCATTTAAAAATGTTAAAAGGGAACACAAATAATAGACATTTTCCCAGTCTGCTAATAAAAAATTCCAAACTCTGAACTTTTCAACATTCTTGGTCTTTTCATAAACATCCTGATTATGCTCCGATATTCCTATTTATCTGCAAATAATGGTACATACATAGTCAGTGTTTCCCCTACCATTATTCAAGGAGGGTGCCCTGCCCTGTCAACAGAACCAAGCCCCCCCACCCCAACCAACAACTGCCGCCACTAATGTTGCACTTAGCTAGCGGGTAATACAGGTGGAGCACCCGCCCAAGACAAGTAACGCAGGTCCTATGTTGTATTTGACTTTTTTTGGGTTCATTTGGCTACGTTGACCACCATGTGTGAAGAAAACCATACACCAATAAAAAACTGTTCCATCTTTATGGTAGCACAGTATAATACTGTGGGGTTAATTTAAAAAGAAATAGTGGAAGATCAGTCAGGACAAAGAATGTAAATGTGTAGGGTAAATTTAAAATGACCCTAAATCTTTTTCTGGAGGACTTTACATCAGGATGGTGACCTTGGCCACCTTATATTAGGCTTTGGCTGCTCATCTGCCTCCCCAGTTGTTAGGGTTGAAAGGGCTGGCTAGTTTAAATATATGTAGCGGCAGCCATCTTGGATGTTGATGTTGCAACTCTATTTTTGATAGGGACTTTAGATGCAGTAACACCAAAATGGAAGTCGGGACATCACTTTTTAAAAGTTTTCCAGCTCACAAGATAGACGGATGGAGGGTTTTTCCAAGTTCCCTCTTTGCTCCGTGACGGGGGACAATTAAAACATCTGGATTTCATTTAGAAGGACAACGTGTTGAACGTTTGTAGAATAATTCCCACGTAGACTTTAATGTCAACGTTAACAAACACATAAAATGCATCACATGTTGAATAGAAATTGGACAATTTTACTATTGCTTTATAATTGTAGAGAAATGTACCGTTAATGAGGTTTTATTCATTTTTTAACTATTTAACAAAAATGTTGATGTAGTTTTAACAACAAAGAGAAGTGATTCTTCATGAACAGGAACTGAAACAAATGACTAAATTTATTTCGCTGCTCAGATTTGTTCACTTGAACTAAATTAGCAGAAGTTGAATCAGGTCCCCGAGGCTCAATGGGATTAACTTGTATAAATAAAGGCTGAATGAATGAATACAGACGCTGGTAGTTGTATAAATGATCAGTTTGGGGCTTTTTCGTCAAATATTAACGAAAAACAAAAAGCTCCATAAACCCTTTTTAATTTTTGGTGAGATATTTTTGATGGTATTTGAGTGGATTGTACAAAGTTACACGAAGATGTTAAAACCTCACACAACTTGTGTGTTATGTGCCCTATTTTTAGGCAATCTTTACAACAATACTGGCTTCATTTTTTAATTTAACGTTTGTTTAACCTGCATTAAAGACTATAGGTTCTTTCATAAAACTGTTCAGTGAAATGGCAGTAAAGATGGATCTGGTTGGTTATCAACCTCCAGGAGAACTTGCCACGTTCTGCACAGACCGAGCTTTTAGAAATGAGGCGAGCATCAGAACCAACAAAAGACTGGAGCAGAACTCAGCTGGGTTGACAGAGAACACTATGCTTTAAATGTGACGGACTTCTGCCTCATATCATTTACAAAACACGACAAATCTCAGTTTAGTGATTGTCTTTGTGGTTAACTGTTTTTAAACTAAACACAAAGTTGCTGTTTATCATCATTGAGCTTTCTTCTATAATTAATCATGGTCACACCGACCATGTCAT